AATGTGCACTATTTCTGGCAGTCTGCAAAGGCCCTAAGTCTTGTCATCCTGGCTTCCAGGGATATCTGACTTGATCTGTTCTAGGACCATGTGTTTGTTGTCCTTTTGGCTGTCCATAGGATCCTCAGCACTCTTCTCCAGCATCACATTATCTCAAATGCATTGATTTTCCTCTTATCTTCTTTCTTGACTGCCCAGCTCTCACATCCATACACGGTAATAGTGAATATGATGCTTGTATGATTCTAACTTTTGTGGCTGCCCTCCCCATTCTTAATCTTCTCCTGATTTCCTGTTTGCAGTCCCCATTTCTATCAATGTTTGATCCCAGATATGAGAACTCTCTTACTATTTCTATTCCCTCATTGTCTAGTTTGAATGTGTGTAAGTTCTCTGTGGTCATTCTTTTTATTTTCTTTATGTTCAACATTAAACCTGGCTTTGCACTATCTTCTTTGATCTTCCTTAGTAGTTGTTCCAGATCTGTGAGGTTCTCTGCTAGTATTAGGATGTCGTCAGCATATCTCAGATTGTTGACATTTCTTCGTCCTATTTTTACTCCTACCTGCTTTTCTTACAATATGTTCTACATATAGGTTGGATAGATAGAGTGATAGGATGCAGCCTTGTCTGACTCCTTGGGAACCATTTTGTTTCTCCTTGTTCTGTTCTGACAGTAGCCTCTTGTCCTGAATTGAGATTCCTCATTAGGACTACCAGATGTGCTGGCAGTTCCATAGCCTTTCATGATCTATGCAATCAAAGGCTTTGCTATAGTCTATAAAGCACATGCTGATTTTCTTTTGAAACTCCCCGCTACACTCCCAATTTGCAGTGTGATCCCAGGTGCCTCTTCCTTTCCTGAACCCTGCTTGGACCTCTGAGATTTCTCTCTCCATTTGTGGTTGGAGTCTATGGGCCTTTACACACTGCCAGAAATAGTGCAAATTGAGGCCACTTTAACTGTCTTGGCTCAGTGCTAAGGAATCATGGAAACTGTAGTTTATTGTGGCACCAGAGCTCTCTGGCAGAGAAGGCTCAATGTCCCAGAAAAAAATACAATTCCCATGATTCCCTATCACTGAGCCAGGACAGTTAAAGTGGCCTCAATTTGCACTATTTCTGGCAAGGCCCAATGTTGCAGAATTTTGAGAATGATTTTGCTTGCATGGGAGATTAGTGCTATGGTTCTGTAGTTGCTACAGTCTCTTGTGTCTCCCTTTTTGTGGATAGGGATGTATATTGATCACTTCCAATCTTTTGGCCATTGTTTTGTTTTCCATATCTGTTAACATATGTTTAGCATTAGAGTTGACTCTGTCAGTGTGGATTGCAACAGTTCTATTGGTATATCATCTGTTCCTGGAGTCTTGTTTTTTGCCATTTCTTTTATTGCAGCTTCCACCTCAGTTTTTAGAATTTGGGGTTCATCTTCATATAGCTCTTTGTCCTTCATTTTGTCATCTTTTTTGTATAGTTCTTCTGTGTATTGTATCCAACGTCTTTTTATTCCTTCCTGGTTTTGAATTATGTTATTCTTATTGTCATAGAGTGGCCCGGTCCTTGGTTTGAACTTTCCCTTGATTTCTCGAATCTTGTGAAATAGGTCTCCCATTCTTCCCTTTTTGTTGTCTTCTATTTCTCTACCTTTGTCATTATAATAATTTTCCCTATTTTTGCACACTAGCCGTTGTACTGTTGCGTTCAGGTTCTTAGTTTATCCCTATCTGGTTAGGCAGAGACCTCTACATCCACCAAAATATTCCTGGTGCAAGCACATGGAGATTTCTTGGGGAATCCATTGTTCTCTGCCCCAGAGAGCTGCCTGTCAATTTATGGGGTTTCTTAGCCAAGGAGTACTCTGAGGAGGTCTTGGCAGTTCATTCCTCTGAGATACAGCCTACAGCAGGGGTAGGCAACCTTTTTGAGCCGGGGGCCGGGTTGCTGTTCCTCAGACAATTGGGGGGCCGAAGCACCAAAAATAAATAAATAAATGAATAAAAATAAAAATAACTTTTTTTAAAATTTAAATTTTTAAAAATATGTATGCACACTCTCTCAGCCCCAGAAAAGCCATGGCAAAATCCCTGTGGAGACTTTGCCAAGAAAACCCCAAGAACAAGTAATAACAACAGTAATCAATATCATCATGGTGGGGGGGGGCGGCGGTGGTAGGACTGACCTGGGGCCCGTCCAAAGGCCTCGGGGGGCCGCATCTGGCCCCCGGGCTTTAGGTTGCCTACCCCTGGCCTACAGCAACTGATATTAGTTGGTGGTCTCTCATTCAAGCAGCCCACTATTAATATGGCAAGTTAGAAATGTGGTTAAGATTAATTTGATTCACCAATAAAGCAAACATAGAAAGTACTCCTTAGGTCAGTCTATTTAGATTGTCCTGTTAGGCCTGATCCCAGTCCAAATTATTATTCTTATTCTTTATTACAGCCATTTGGCCAGCACAAAATTACAATAAAACACATCTTAGGTGTATACAATAATTTCTTACAAGAACATACCAGTAACTAGGCAAATCACTCTAACCTCTTAGTTTACAAAACTGGTTCATACAATAACGGGAAAAGGGCTATATAATTATCTGAGCATATATAATAGATGGAATTGCCACTAACTTTGATGAAATGGATTAGTATAACATCATATATAGCTCCAGACATACCAGTCCAAATTCAGTATTCAGTGGTATACCAAAGCCCTGTACTTCACTGACAGGTGCAGATGAACCAACACAGAAAAAATATTGTTTTGTGGAGGCAAAGAAACGTATGTACAGCTCAGCAACACAGTAAAACCTTGGATTCCAGCTTTAATTTTTATGTATATCTCTCCTTTCTCCACTGGGAATGGTGTGTGTGTGTGTGTAAACAAAAGGTCTGTTTTCAGAAATTTAAAAAAAAATGTAGGGGGTAGTTCTGCTAACTTTTTTCATATCTCAGTGCTCTGATGTTTCTGCACATCTAAAAGGCTACTTGCCAATTATGTTGGA